ACACTTAAAAGATTACTTTGTTCAAAGAAAGCCAAAAATGCTAAGGATTTGTCAAATTTTATTAAACGTATCAATAGAAGTTTAGATATAAATACATGTAATTAAATGTTTGTATCATTCTCTAATGGCACCTTTGTATATATAAATATGTATGTATATTGTATTGTACATTATCCTGCCTCAATTATATCTCTCCAATGCCATCTTGGTATACAAGTTGTTGTCTACTTCACTCATGTACCACCGTTGGTGGAAGCTGCGAAAAAATAAAACCTTCGAGTTCTGGGACATTTTGTACTCTTTGTACAGTCAGAGATCAAGGTCATACTGACAGCCCAAATTAAACAAAATGTTTATTTTAAGGATAACTCAAGAATCATTCACTGTATTATCATTTCATCTTTCGTGCGGGTCGATGGGGTAGCCCAGTGGGTTGAAAGCTGGCTCGTCACGCCGAAGGCCCGGGTTCGACTCCCCACATAGCTACCATGTGTGAAGTCCATTTCTGGTGTCACCCGCTGTGATATTGCTGGAATATTGCTAAAATCGGCGTAAAGCCCGACTCACTGTCTCACTCACTCACTCACTCAACCTTTTTGCTGGACCATGACATGAGAGGGTTGATCGACCTGTGTACCCAAATCGAGGCAAATTCGAAATTTAATGAGCTGTTTGCTGATGTCACTAAAACAGCCTATTTTAAAAGGCTTTTGCATGGAGTGGATTATTGTAATTTGACTTAACAACTGGCGTTCCTGGTCCATGAAAAACTCGATATGTTTACTGGTTGCCATCTTGCGGCAGGAGTACTTCTGTGTAACGTCAGGTTGTCCATACTTACTTTCAAAGGCTGATTGCGTGAATGGCGGTTGCCACCGAGTGCCATCTATTTTCTTCAGTGGTTCAATCATTTTCACAGCCACTTGTATTCTTTCATTATGAATCATTCTACCCTTTCACTGCCTAGCCGTAAATATCCGGGTTAGAATTGGTCTTCAGTAACCCATGCTTGTCGTAAGAGGCGACTAGCGGGATCGGGTGGTCAGGCCCGTTGACTTGGTTGACAAATGTCATCGCATCCCAATTTCGTAGATCGATGCTCATGCTGTTGATCACCGGTTTGTCTGTTTGTTTTACTCGATTATTTACAGACCGCCGCCATATAACTGGAATATTGCCGAGTGCGGCGTTAAATATCAAACAAACAACAACTTTCACTGCCTTTTAAATCAAATAAAATGTGCTTCTGAGGATAGTCAAGACTGTGTGTTCTTCTCTACTAATGTTTCTATAAAACTTTTATTTGAAGTCGGTCGATATTACTGCTGGCGGATCTAAATCCCCGAGCTCCATTATAAGCGCTGTAGCATTTATCTAAACTGAGTCAACTACAAATTATGTTTGTTCCGAGACATTAAAACCGACCGCCACTGTGTAGTAAACAGAATCCATATACACACTCTGGTGTTACGACGACAAACCCTCGACCAGCATTGATCGATCCATGCACTGGATGATCCATACAGCGGCATCGTATGACCTGCAATTTGCTTAGTACTTATTGTAACCCGGAATGCAGATGTTATTCATCGTGATGTTATTTACAGCCGGTCTGTAGTGAGAGTGAGTGAGTGTGTGAGTTAGGTTTTACGCCACTTTTAGCAATATTCCAGCAATATCACGGCGGGGGACACCAGAAATTGACTTCACACATTGTACTCACGTGGGGATTCGAACCTGGGCCTTCGGCGTGACGAGCGAACGCTTTAACCACTAGGCTACCCCAATAATAATACCGACTGCGGACTTGCAATAAACTGTAAAATGTTGATACATGCAATTTGAATTGATTTCATTTTAGACTACTTTCAACGTCTTATCTGTCTTTCTAAATTAACACAAGGGGTGACTGAGTTAAAATCTCATTGCCACAATACTCCAAATGATGAAAACAATCCAAATGATGAAAACAATGTCCAGAAACCACAAACAGTTTCATGAAGCACTTCGTTATGACATTCAGTCTTTAGTGGTATTCTCCATTTAAAACATGTTGTCTGAAAACATCAACGGTCCTTAATACGTTACGACTCGATCCCACAAAATACTTCTATTCACATTCTGAAGTCGGTCAAGCATCCTTCTTTGTCATTTAAAATTCATAAAAATCTTAGGCAAAGAGCTCAAACTGTCAGGTCCGCCTCTTTCGACATTTCAAACTGTTTCGTAAAGGTCCTCATGGTGCCACTTGTAGCATGAATTTGCAGCATACGACTTGCAGCGTACCGAATCGCATACAAGTCGTATCTTGACATTCTCAAGCATGAATTGGCAAGAAGGAAGTGAAGCAGTCATTACAAAAGAAGAAACGAAAGCCTTGTCGATTGTCCGCAAATGGATTCTTGGGAGAAACCGTTCAGTTTATTCTGTTAGGTTTCTTCAGTCAGTCTCTGACATGATGTCAACACAAACAACGACGTCACACGCAACTGTTTTGCATGCTGCAAGTAGCACCGTGACTGAGTACCCTAAATATCCAAAACTTCGCTGAAAATATGGTCATGCAATTCAATGTAGGGTTGGCAAGGGTAACTATACATCGGAACACCAAACAGTTAACCTGGTTGCTCTTCTGGGTTTTCTTCTCGTTGACTGATGTAGCTTAACAACGATGTAAACACGCTTTTGGTTTCAAATGAAATTTACTGACCTTCCACTCTATCATTCAACTTTATTTAATCTTTACACTACTGGTCTTTCTCCTAACTGTTTAATGTGCACAATTATTTACATAACAGGGAGAAACTGGAGTGCGAGGTTTCATGTTTCAGTGTTTTATATACAACCTGTACCTTCTCTTACTTGGGAAACACTGATGCCCCTCAACGTGAAAATTAGCGTATTGAAATGCACGCCTCAACATCAGATATGGCCTTTCACATGACATGTAGGTAAATAGGTATTACTCACTCACTGTTCATGAACATAACCGCTCTGGTTCCATTAGAATATTTGTTATCAACATAATTTTTTTTATTAATTGCATTATTAACATAATTATATGTTCTGTTTTTTATAATTGTATAGTTATTGCTACACATCAATTCAAATTCCATTTTATCTTATCATGCATGTTGTTAAAACAAATTTACCATGTCTTATGTGTCAATGTTGCAGCACATGCTCTGCGAGGGAAATTCGCTGGCAGTGACTGATGCATACACATCTGCTCTGCCCTTAAAACCTGTCGGAAGTTGATAGACGCACATGTTATAGCTTAATGACTCGTGAATGAACAATTGTAAGGTCTTTTACCCTGTTAAACCATCCTGGTGGTTTGCCACACATAGTGCATTAACGTACTTGGGACACAAAAGGAATATTTCATTTACCTGAATTTATAGTGATGCTGTCGTTTTTAATTACTTGAAGATATTGCCCTGGGCGATCTGTTACCAGGGTCGGAGACTGATGCGTCCAATTGGGAAACTTTGTCAAAGGTGGCCTCCACATGTCTCCCACAAAACTTTAAAAGCTTTATTGAGGTAATAATGTTGTAACCTTGATCTAACCACTTACAAACACCCGCCATATATGAAATGTCTTTGAAATCTTCATAGAAAGAGTATGCTTGGCCTTTGTTAACTTGAAAAGTTGAGAAATGAGGACACCAAAGGCTACAGCTGCTAGAATACTGCCCAACACTGAGGGAAAGTTGACCATTGAAAAACTGAAGACTTCTATTATAAGTGTTGTGGAGAGGTTGTTTTGGTCACTTTGGATCTTCGACATTTCTGATGGAAAAAGGTCATTCGATAGGGATTTTGGGCCAAACAATATCGAATTTTAGCTTAGTTTTTCAATATATTTTGTTCAGTTTTCTCCACAATGTGAAGGACTCTTTGAAGAAACATTTGGAGGAAACTGAACGAAATATAAATGAAAAACAAAGCTTAAATTGGATATTGTTGAAAAGAATAGATGTCTTCTTTAATCTCAATGTCATGAATTTCACTTTCGAAATATTCAAGTCGATGTTTCACCCTAGCAAACCTCATTGAAATTTGGACAAATAAATCCACCTTCAGTGTCATAAAATGGACAATAATGATGGCGATTACGATAGTAATGAGAGACTCGACTTTGATAAACAAATGAACATAAAGTAAGAAGCATCTTATTTAGAAACTCAAGCTCAAAGAGCCGACTAGTCAATAAGGCCCCTTGAGTAGGTCATGGCACTTCGCGAGTCCTTAATACTTCCGGTGACAAACAACGTTTCATACCTTTTCGAATGGTTTCATGGTTGTCAGTTGACAGTAGGGAACCGATAATTCTTGCAGGAATAACACATTTCCGATCAAACCATCGCCAAATTAGCCAACTGTTACGACTGTCAACGACTGTTACAGCCAAGCATGGTTGCACACTTGGTCCGGTTTTGTAAAGTAATATTTGGCGGTTGCGCCATTAGGAAACAAAACTGGCTCTTGAATATACGCTTGTCACCGGAAATCTGGTACCGGAAGTAAGCTGGGCCTCGTCTCGCATAACGCAAGTTGGCGCTCGCAAAGTGAACTGGGAAGCAGCTTAGTACCGGAAGTAGCGGCTCTCGAGACGTACAGGCCCTATATATGAGAAATGCTGACAAATGTGATATTAGTGTCCATGAGTTTGATCATATCAGGTTTTATCCAGTCCGACCACCATGACTGGCTTAAATTACAACTCTTATCTATGCATAAGCTTGTTTTAAATAAGCCTTTACTAAAAGCATGAACAGATGTCAAGGTATTTCGTTCAAGGCAAAAATACCAACGTCATTAAAATTATAAAAATGCTAAATGTGTACTTGCGTGTACGTTCATAGATTACGTTCCGGATACAAATTGTTAACTGGAATGAAAAAGTGAAATTTATATCTGTGCATAAGTTTGAAAGTGCTCCAATAAAGCTGCGACTGTGACAGTTCCATTGTTGAGGTGCACACTTTGTGTCGTTCAATGTTTGAAAACTGCTCTGACGTTCTCCTTGACCGTTCTTCTCCTGCTCTGCTGTTCATCCTTGTACGCTTCCTTGTATGCCGAGGATGATGGCATCCAGTCAAAGTCAGGCCTCAGGGAAAGCATTAAACGCTGAAAATGCATTTATTCTTTTCAAAATTAAAAACGTTTTTAAAGGGACGTGAAATTTTACCAAAGGGTTAAATAGAACAAAATCAGGTATATATGGATACGTATGACACGACGCGGCAACAGTGAACAGAGTCGCTCAAAACTGGTCCCATAGCCCGTAATATAGATATACAGAACACAATGCGTATCATGAGAATTTCCGAGAACAATTATATGAGGAAAGGAAATGACTTGCCTGTTTGAAGGACTTAGCAGATCTGTGCTTCAGGAGAGTCAACAATGCACACACCGGAAGGGGGATTATTGGCACTGTTGCGATACACCAACCAATGGTAACAGCGTACGGTGGATATTCATACTTGCCATACGTCGGAGGCTGATACTGGACCAAGGTTAAGATGAACACAGCCTGGAAGGGGAGATCACTCTCAATGTAAAAATAACAACGTTCACTGACTGATTATGATTGCAGATTCGTGAAATTCCTAACTCGATTCGAGTACGTAAGGCTTCTATAAATGTAATTGTTACTCCTAAAGATATATTAAGATATAAACTCACGGGCGAAAGAAACGTCACCAAAATGATCTTTTTTATCTTTTATCGTACACTAAGTGATTATTCATATCTGTAGTGCACACTTCCATCATTCAGAGTATTGTAGATCCATGATATTCCAAATATGATTGTAAAATTTTCAAAATTTGTTGTTTTGTGACATGTTAAAAAAAGCGAGGTGACGTTTCTTTAGCCCGTGAGTATATTTGTTGTTTGTTTTATGTTGTTATTAGCATAATCAGATGACTGCTATATCCATAAATGTGTAGATTCTGTTCATAGTGGCGTAGCAACAACACAATGTACCACACATGCTTCTATGTCACGCAGTGATAAAGTATATTCTCAGCTGGTTCATTGTTCTACCAATGCCACCATACAGCTGGAATATTTCTGAGTGCGGCGCTAAACAAGAAGAGAGAATTACCAATGACACAACTGGTATAACAAAACACCAGAGGAACCGCAGGATGATCGGAGGTGGACGTCCCAGCATCATCGTGATGTCCCTGCTAAACCGGTCCATACCTACAGAGGCATTGACGGTTGATATGATTATTTATACCTCCCTCGAAAACGGTCATATCAGCTCCATACACAGGTTACAGTGTTTATACAGTGAGCGACAAAAACATTTTAAAACAAGCACCACGCACAGGTTACTGTTTTTATACAGTCGACAGCAAAAACAATAATAACGCACTACACACACTCATGTGTTGATGCAGTCGGGTCATTTACAGTGTATATCTAGTTTAAGGTCAAAGGTCACCCCAACATCCAATGGTTGATATCGTGAACATCGCCGATGGTTAGGTTATGATGTCATGCAATCAGAAATATCACCTGAGAAAAAATGTGCAGGGAACAAATATAACGCTGACCCCGAAGAATCCCTTGATATGATACCTGTAATTGAGTACCTGTGAGAAATGTAGTCTCAAATACAGGTTTCATTTTTATTCTGAAACTACCGAACACAGCGCACTATAATATACCTATATACAGAAATAATATTAACAAGTGTTTGCCACTGATATGGCAATGTCCCCCGCCGCTAAAGAATGGAATATCTTTAACATATTTACTACTTTGTATTTTTTGGTCACATATAGGATGCCTGAAATGACTGGTGTCTGCATAATCACCCAATGTAGGCTGTCAACATACTTGGAAACATTGGGTGCAATGTTTTATGAGATATCGCGTTTAAATAAGTTTGAAAAGCGGTCAAAGTGTCGTGGTGATCTTGAAGATAAGGTCACCCAAGTAAACTTGTGTCTGCGTAATACCCAAATGTAAACTGTCACCAGGTTTGAAGACATTGGGTACAACAGTCCATGAGGTATCGCGTTAACAATAGTTAAAACTGTGAAAAGTGTCGTTGTGACCTTGAAGATAAGGCCAAGGTAACCCAAATCAACTGGTGTCTGCGTAATTCCCCAATGTATGCTGTCACTAAATTTGAAGATATTGGATACTACAGTGCATGAGATATCACGTTAACAACAGTTTGAAAAGTGGTCCAAGTGTCGTGGCGACCTTGAAAATATGGTCACGGTCACCCAAATCGACTGGTGTCTGGGTAATCTCCCAATATCGGCTGTCACCAAATTCGAAGACATTGCGTACAACAGTTCATGAGATATCGCATTAACAAGAATCGGGACGTATGTATGTACGGACGGAAGCCGCTGAATACATAGTCCCCCGTTCCGCGTTGCGGCGGGGGACAAAAACTGAATTAGTAACTAAAGATTACTCTCTATGATAAAAAAATTCAAACAAAAACGGGAAATCTCTGCTTTGATAAACGATTAGCAATTTTGACATGCAGCATATCCCGCACATCCTGAATGGAAAATCTATAACTTGCCATATATCCATCCCACAGCTACACATTCAAGAAAACAGAACAAAATGACCGACAGGGCTGAGATGTACCAGTCGATCAGCTGAAATATGTACGGTCCTCCCTAAAGAAGTAAAAAAAGACAATTCATTAAGTACAGTTCGAAGTTTTACAGGAATGACATGTTATTTTTTTTTACATCGGAGGATTAAGGCAGTTGATATTAAAAGTCACATAGGCAGAATGTCAGCATATTGTGAAGATAAAAAATACTTAACTGACGGCTAAAAAACAACACTTTTAAAAGTGAAACTGGGAAAATTTATAAATACAAATAAAATCAAGTCATGACACATTGTCCAAACACTCCATGTGTTCCATGCAGAACGTGATACACGTATGTGCCTCGTTTTTTTATTGGAAAATGCGAAAAAAGTGAAAAACTTGTGCTTCTTAAGCAACCGAAATCAAACAGTCAGGGTATATACATTAAATGGGCAGCACGTGGGACACTTACACTGATAAATAAACCCATACAAATGCCACGAATGACATACGAACAACGCGAGCGGGTCCTTGGTATTATATAGATTTGAGCCACCCATACATACATTGCTAGAACTTTGGGGTTCTCTCGTGTTGCTGTAACTAACCTGATACAGCGTTAAAACGAGACAGACCGGGTAGACAGACCCAGGATAAGTACTCCCTGGTAAGACCATTAATAGCGTACTTTTCATCTCCTGTATCGATTCCTGTTTCATTAACAGAGAACAGAGACGAATGCATTGAGCTATATGGTAGCTGACTTGTGTTTCAAAGAATTAGGAACGACAGTCCTTACACAGGGCAGTTAAAAACAGCGCGACACGGTTCAGAGATTGAGATGGACCCGGACTGTACGTCGCTGGCAGCGACGTGACTGGCAGAGGGTTGTCTTCATAATGAAAACCGGCTGTGTCTGTTCAGAACTGATGGAATACAGCGTGTTTACTACCGAAAGAGAGAACATACTACATCATGTTGCGTTCAGAGGGTTGTGCCCTATGGTGGAGAGTGTGTTCTGGTGTGGGCAGGATTTTGTGGGCAGGAGAGAACGCCACTAGTCATCGTTAAGGGAAATCTTACGCCACTAGTTATCATTAAGGGAAATCGTTACGTGGATGGCATTAATCGTCCAAACGTTTTCCCATGCCAGACCATATACAGCGATCTCATATATTATGTGGGCCCCTTGTCCATTACGTTGAAAGCTGTTTGGTAAATGGCATGAGGATATCGGTTGCTGTGTCATTTTAAGTGTTGATTTCAATAGAGTATTGAGCTTTTCAATTTTACTTTGCTTAATGTGTGTTTTTTTTTAACTAAATTGATTCTAAACTATCATGAAGTATTATTTGACTGTCACTGTATATTCAATTTAAAAAGATCCGTTTACAATAGACAGTTAAACTATTACATGACAATACTATATAATGAAACGGGTACAGATAACTAGCAACCCAATTCTGCTACCCGCATGGTACCATTATGGGAGGCAATTAATTAATTACTTACCTGTGTACAAAATATGAGTCCCATGAGGAAATACACCAGGCAAATGGCTGCTGTTAGTAACCCTCGCCGTTTATAAAATATGTGGGGGTAACTGTCAACGATTGTCGTAGGTAGGACCTCGGTTACAGAAAACTGTGAGAAAAAGCAGATTTTACAGAAACAAAAGATCCATGAATACATGGAATGGCTTTCAGGGCAAACGTATAAATATACAAAGATCAATGTGATCATGGCTATCTCATTGTCAATCCTATTTGCTGGTGGGCGTTAACGGCACTACCTGTGTGGAAAAGAGGGTTCCTAAATTGAAGCTATTGTAAAACCATTTGTCGTATCTCTATCGCAAAAAAAGTCTCGACACTACACAGAGGTCATTTATATTTTTATTTTTTTCGTTTATCATCATGCAAAACCGTACTGGTGACCAAGATTGTTTAGGCAATACTCATGACATGTTGATAGGTTTCCCTTGACACTGGATGCTAAATAAAACCCGTAAATCTGTCAAACAACATGTGCATTAACACTGCATATAGCTATTGGTTATTTCTGAAGGTCCCACAGGCAATCTAAAGTTGTTATGCTAAACATTGATTCAAAATAATTAGGTTGAAGAGCACAACATACATATGTGTGCACGTATCAAGGAGGGTATTCCTGCACAATGGATAATAATGCAAATTTCATTGATTCGAATCCTCATCGAATCAGATTTCATCACATACTCCCACACAGTTGCAATTATAAAGGGCAATATTAAACAGAGTTGTTATAACTTAATGATGTGTGCAAGTATTAGATATAAAATGAATATAATAAATCCATGGCGTACCTGCGTATCCAACCCTATGGTTATGAGCAACAGAAAAAACAGGAACGACCAAAGTTGTGGAACAGGAAGTAGAGAGAGCGCTTGTGGGTAGGCGACGAATCCAAGTCCAGGACCTTGAAAACAAATTGATATGCCAAACATGATTCAGGGAATATGTTACGCAGAAACGCATCGTTTCTAACAGATATGTGCTTGGGACAGCTGGGGGATACGATGGTATATACTGTACTTGGCCTACCATTAGGGTACTATAAGACGATGCGTGTGACAATTAACTACGCAGGAAATTACTGTTAAATACTACATATACTTATTATTGTGCACTCTATCCCAGATGGGAGTACATTGCTCGACACGACATGTTATGAAGGAACTTCATGTTAGGTACCAGACTTAACATAAAACCTTACCTATAGGTACCAGACTTAACGAAGAACCTTAACTATGGGTTCCATGACATAACGTAGAACCTTAACTATGGGTTCCATGACTTAACGTAGAACCTTACCTGTAGGTACCAGACTTAACGTAGAACCTCAACTATGGGTTCCATGACTTAACGTAGAACCTTACCTATAGGTACCAGACTTAACGTAGAACCTTACCTATAGGTACCAGACTTAACGTAGAACCTTACCTATAGGTACCAGACTTAACGTAGAACCTTAACTATGGGTTCCATGACATTACGTAGAACCTTACCTATAGGTACCAGACTTAACGTAGAACCTTACCTATAGGTACCAGACTTAACGTAGAACCTTAACTATGGGTTCCATGACATTACGTAGAACCTTACCTATAGGTACCAGACTTAACGTAGAACCTTACCTATAGGTACCAGACTTAACGCAGAAACTTAACTATGGGTTTCATGACATAACGTAGAACCTTACCTATAGGTACCAGACTTAACGTAGAACCTTACCTTTAGGTACCGGACTTAACGCAGAACCTTACCTATAGGTACCAGACTTTACGTAGAGTTCCATGACATAACGTAGAACCTTACCTGTAGGTACCAGACTTAACGTAGAACCTTACCTATAGGTACCAGACTTAACGTAGAACCTTACCTATAGGTACCAGACTTAACGCAGAAACTTAACTATGGGTTTCATGACATAACGTAGAACCTTACCTATAGGTACCAGACTTAACGTAGAACCTTACCTTTAGGTACCGGACTTAACGCAGAACCTTACCTATAGGTACCAGACTTTACGTAGAGTTCCATGACATAACGTAGAACCTTACCTGTAGGTACCAGACTTAACGTAGAACCTTACCTATAGGTACCAGACTTAACGTAGAACCTTACCTATAGGTACCAGACTCAACGTAGAACCTTACCTATAGGTACCAGAATTAAAGTAGAACCTTACCCTTAGGTATCAGATTTAATGCAGAACCTTACCGTTAGTTCTCAGACTTAACGTAGAACTTTACGTATAGGTACCAGACTTAACGTTGAACCTTCCGTTAGGTGTCAGACTTAATGTTGAACTTTACCTATACATGTAGGTACCAGACTAAACGTGGACGTAACAACACCAGATAATAGAACTCACCACAGGATAGAACAAGAATTATGGGATCTCGCTGCTAGAAACCATTCGAGGAACTCACCGCTAGACACCACCTCCGACACAGGAACACCAGTACGTGCAGCCATGGAACCCAACACGGAAAATGTCACACATCCTCCAAAAATACTCGTTCCTTCAGAGATAAATGATACTAGGAGCGTGTCCCTAGAACAGTAGTGTTTACAATCCTCAATACAAGTGTGTTAAAGATATTCATATCGGTCTTAATTACACATTAATTTAGTTGCTGAGATATTTCTTAAGTGGTGTCTACCTTTGGAATTAACTGTACCCGTGACGATCCGGGTTAGAATTGGTCTTCAACAACCCATACATGTCGTGAGAGGCGACTAACGGGATCGGGTGATCAGGTTCGCTGACTTGGTTGATACATTTCATCGTACCCCAATTACGTAGATTGATGCACATGCTGTTGATCACTTGATTGTTTGATGCAGACTCGATTATTTACAGACCGCGGCCATGTAAATGGAATATTGCTGAATGTGGCGTTAAAAACAAACCAACCCATGGAAACAAATGGCATTTTACCTTTTCTTTGTGTTTGTCATGCCAGTATACTTTGGCAAGAAGGCGACTGACGTCTCAGTCAAAAGAAATTCCCGTCTATCAAAATTACATAAGGATAAAAACAGGGCAAAAAAAAAAATGTGTCTACCCTAAACAGGGTTCATGGAATTTGTTGAAACTGGCAAGAACATGAATCATCCCCCATCCTGGCCCCACGGAGTAGAACACCTGCAGACACGCCTCCAGCCACACCTGATGAAGGGAACGGGTGAGTCACCAGATGATTGAAACATATTGAAACGCCTGATGAAGGGAACAGTTGAATAACCAGATGATTGAAACACATTGAAACACCTGATGAATAGAACAGGTGAATCACAAAGATGATTGAAACACATTGAAACACCTGATGAATAGAACAGGTGGATCACAAGATGATTGAAACACCTGATGAATAGAACAGGTGAATCACAAGATGATTGAAACACCTTATGAATGGAACAAGTAAATGACCTGATGGCTGAAATACATTGAAATTTCTGTTGAAGGTGGTTCAATGTTCAAACTTTTGGGAGATACCTCTAAACATCCATCAGAAAGAACTTAAGGTCTTAAACGTTCCTCAATATTTATGTAAAGTGACTTATAGGCTTACCGTAATCCTTACTGTCACTTCCTCAAACATACTAGCGGTGATTTAAACACACGCCATTTTTACGTCGCCACAAGGTTTAAGTTATTTGATGCTAACGTATTTTACGTTGTCGTAACGTTCTATTTAACGTTAATAGTGAATACTTTTCTTAGTAGTGAACAGCACATGTGAAACAAAGCAGAAATTCACTCCAATGTTTATTCGTCAATTTGCAGGTTGTTTTGGTCGTGTTTTGCTGTAGCTGAATGGAGAGGAAAGAATCTCAAAGTGAACAGTTTTACAGAAAGAAATCATGATACGTTGTTATAACGTTGTGAGGAGCCCGAAACATAATGTTTCCTCAACGCAAGTTTGCAAAGTTGTTATTACGTTGTGCAATAACGTTATAAAATGACGTAATACTAACGTTGTGACAACGTTGTGTCATGACGTTCTAATCTACAACCTACCCACAACGTTGCGAAAAAGTTGTGTGTTAGCTGGGTAAGGACTTGTGTATGGATTGTCGCTACTTAGATATACCTGTCCTGCCCATACCTGTCCATGCTGCAGCCTGCTGAAGTCTGGGGTAAAGAAGTACACCAATCCATCGTATGCCCCCGGAAGCATGAGGGTACGGACGAGCAGAGCAGTCAGCAAGATGAAGGGCAGCGTGGCTGTGACGTACACGACCTTATAGTTATAAAAATATATAGGGGGTTACAGTCCTGAATACGTTTAGTACAAAGCTGATTCGCAGTGACAGAAAATGATTGGGACACAGACATGCGGTGATGTGCGATCAGGTATTCGGCATTGGTAAAAGCTAAAAACTGCAGGCTATAATGCTGTTTACGTAAGTGAGTGAGTATGGCTTTACGCCGCTTTGGGATATTTATTCCAATATTCCAGCAATAACCCAAAATGGACTTTATGTGAGGAATCGAACCCGAGCATTCGGCGTGACGAGCGAACGCTTAAACCACTAGGCTACCTGCTGTTTCAGAATAGAATGAGAACAAACAGTTCATGATGACTTCTGAAGATATAGGACGTACTGGTCCACCAATATACACTTGGAACTGAAGCTACGAACAGATGACGATGTAACAGGTGTTCGGAATGCATTGGGTTAATCTTGTCGAGACTGCATGATTAGAAAACACATTCGTACTTCCACATTCGTGATCTATTAAGTGATCCTCTAATCCCCGAATCCTCTAATGATGGAAGGGTCGTCTGGCATAACCTGAAACGGGATGTCCTTAGGTATGGTTTAAATGAGATTACACAACCATCCTATATTTCTTCCACTGAATATCAATATATTTTGGCAGACAGCTACACATAATAATTAGAAGATAAAGCTACTCTGTTTTCAATTTTGCGGTCAGTTATCGTTGATTTAAGATCGCCAAATGTAATTTAAAAACCGAACGCGCGGACAGATAAGCGTTTTAAAACAGGAATCTTTGGCGCGCAAAAACACAAGACGTGAAGGGTCCTTTTTCTTGGAAATCGCTTGGAATCGTCCAGTTGAGGGACAGGGTGTGCAGTGAACAAAATATGACATTTTCAACAACATAAATGCTTTATTTCAGGCACCACTATGTATATATTTGTAACAAGTTGTATACATAGATTAAAAATACAGTTTATACTGTGAGCAAGTACAATTATTTGATCTTTCTCAAGCGTATTATTGATATCCCCTACTGTATGACAATCGACTCGCCCCAATTAAAGTCGTGAACTCGTGAAGTTTAGTAGCCGCTAACTTTATTCACGGAAATAACTGTTGATAACCACCCTACTATTCCCAATTCGGAAAAGACCTGACTTGCCAGCTTTTATGTGGAAATCATGGACAGAGGAAGTGGAAAGACTGGGCATTACGTCCGGGACGGAAGCTGTCTGGGACCCGTTTCACAAAGCTCTCGTAAGCCTAAGATCTCGTAACACCTACGATATATCTTACGATACCACGCTAAGGGCGTTTCACGAAAGTATCTCAGTACTCTCGATGTTACGAGAAAACTTACGGTAACTTTTAGCTATCGTATTGCGAACTCTTTTGCTGAGAAGACTTGAAAAGAACATGGATTGCGAGTTACGTCCCTTTGTGTAAACAGACGACAACCCGCGGTACAATGGAGGACTTGATGTCAAAGGGAGGGTCAGAAAAACGAATTTCTCGTCCTTTGAATTGGAAATTTTAACATCCGAAGTGGCCCACAACAGCAGCTATCTATTTGGTAGACGTCCAGCGTTCAGCAGTCATCACAGCTGCTGTCAAAAGCGTCTCTGGAATGAGATCGCTGAAAAGTAAGTGATGATCGAGTCGATCTTTCGTTCGTAGGTTTCTTCTGATTTCAGCAAATTAAATTTAAACGCAATGCTAAAACCCCACAACGAATAAACACACTCCTTAATGTGTATGTGTAACAAGTGTCATAAAAGCAAATGATGTAATACTTTGAGAACATAACATCATAAAGATAATGACAACCTCGCTATAGCGAAATTAGTGGGCGTGACAAGTTACGGCGTCCTTAGATACAAAATGGCGATGGTGTCGGTATATTACGTACATTTGAGAATTTATCTTGTTATATGAAATACCTTCACATGCTTAACATAATTTCAAACCACTTGTGTTAATATTACAAAAAAGATATTATCTTTCATTGTATATGAACATGTTTTTATTAATAGGATCAATGCAAATGCTAATTCTAGGAGGGATGGGGACGAGGTCCGTAAGAAATGGACTGACTTCAGGTGAGGAAACATTGATCTTTTCAAAACTGAACCTAAAGTTTTAGTTATTTATTTTCACCATGGAAGCTTAACTTATTTTCATGAGTAAATTCGTTTGAAAATAACACAAAATTCAACATCAATAACAATTTGATCAAGGCTTTAGGACAAGTTTAGTTAATCTACATTTCAATTTGTAACATACTATTTTCCCTCACTAAATACAAGTAATTAATTTATATGTAATGTACAAAACCTTGCTACCAGTTATTTCACAAGGTAAACTAATATACATGGTATAACGTATATGCCTTGAAAGAGGAAATATAAATATTAATTAGTTAACATACATGTATTCTGATTATGATACAGTATGTTGATAATACAGTAATGGTATTATCAAAATTTCTTAAATTTGTCTGAAATATCATGTGAGTTTGTTGGAATGTGTCATGATCATTTATACACTGTTGTTTTTACCTCTGGATAATAAAATATTTTACTTGTTCTACCCAAAAAACTCAATGTGAATAAAATAAGTGCTAATATGTGAACCTTGATCAAAGATTTTGAATTCTCCCAGGTCCTTATTTAAAAAAAGGAAATGATGAGAAGGAGGGAGATGAAGAAAACTGGTGGCGGTCCAAGCCCTCAACCTTTGTAAGATGTTTTTACGTATATTGTATGTAACTATGTTCTATGGGACTATGACCTGAAACTATGACACAAAGACATTAATCAGTTCCTGTGTTTTTCTTTTAAATCTTTTTTTCATTTTAGGAGATCCATTTTTCAAATGAACCACAACTAGGGGAACTTACGCCAGTTTGTTTGGGGATAGATCGAACGTTATTGACACATTGATAAAACATGGGAGACGAAGTGAAGTGACATCACTACTAAGTGTTGTACCTGAGTTTGTCATCGCACACAGCCTGTGCACTTATTGTATGATATCCTTTCCGGCACACGTAGGAGGGTTCCTCGTCACCAGTCGGAGCTTGGATAGGGATGAGCGTGCCGTCAATACATCCGAGAACTCGGGGGGAAACCAGCCAGTTTATGGAAACCTTCCTTCATGACGCTCTTCTCACTCACAGAGGTCGGAAAGTGGATATTGTCCAACGAATCTCAAATGGCATCTGTGGTAGCATGCAGGATACGCGAAACACTTGGGATGCTAATACCATGCATTTGGCCAATCTCTGAATAAAACCCTCCTTTCGACAAAAATCACAGTGTTGCGAGCACTTGGGTTTCTGGTGAAATCGGCACGGAACGCTTGGTGTCTCTTTGAAAGTAGGGACGAGTGAGATTAATTAGCTCAAAACAAGAGGCCCTGTCCATTCGATAGTTCATAAACAGTTTGTCGTCACTTACGATGTCCAGTAGCAATGTTCGATCCCGAAAAACACGCTGTTTTTGAATACTTTTCTTGCTGAGTTTCTCTTTTAACAACATATAATACGCCATTTTGTTTTTGACTTACGAGAATAAAGCTCATTTACGAGAGCAAATACTTACCGTAATGTTTATTGTAAATTTAAGGTATCGTAAGCCTACAAGAGCTTCGTTAAACGCCCATAAAATCGTAAGATTGTGCTACGAGAAAAGTTACGAGATCTTAGGCTTACGAAACCTTGTGAAACGGGGCCCTGGTTAGTACGTTTGGGCCGACGTGTGTTGTAGACGTCATGCCTGTTAGATCTAGACCCAGTTTGAAGTATGGCGGAATACTGCCGCCCTTGCGCTGCTGACGAATTTCCCAGCGTCGAAGTTTCTTCACTGGGATTAGGGTCAGAAATTCTTCTTCAAACTATTCGCCTTTTACTTCAATAACATTAAAGATCGATGCTGCCGAGGTAGAAATCGCCGATGTCCGACATGTTTGTTTACAAACAAAAGGGTCAACGTGTTCATTGTATTCATACGCGGTAAATCGGTCATTTTTATTAGCGGTCCTTAAACTGCCATTTAAGTAGGGATTTGATGAGCTCTCAGCCAATCAGAATCGAGTATCACACAATGTGCTAGAATAATAAATAATAATAAAACTAGTGATTTGTATAGCGCCATTTCGAAGAAAGATTGCTCAAAAGCGCTGATCACTGGAATGCCTTTATAAAGAAATGCGTTTTGAGTTTTGCTGGAAGGAGTGTGGTACAGTTGTCAACAGGGAGAGTTAGACAGAACTGGCCCTGCTTTCCCAAAAGCTCTTTCACCAAATGTTTTGGTTGTTTTGGAACAAGATGAGCTGAACGGAGACATCTTTTGGGGACGTGCGAAGCAATTAGAGTTTGCAGTTATACTGGAGCCGTTTGTTGCAGTGACTTGAAGACAAAGGGCAGGAGCTTGTAATTGATCCGTTGCTTGATTGATAGATAGCCAATGGTGCCTCTTTAGAAACGGTGTTATGTGTTCATATTTTGACATGTGTCAAAAGCCTGTCTGCAGCATTCTGAACGCTGTAACTTTTTCAAGCTGGTTTTGTTGGATCCCGTACCACTGGCTATTGCAGTAGTCTAGCCGAGATGTTACCATAGCATTGATAAAGACTGAGGGGTCATATGACGCCTTATTTATTTCTGATCTCGAAGTAGGCAGATTTGCAGACAGATTTACATGTTGCTCCATGATGTATGTGGTATCCATGGTGACTCAGAGATTCTGAACCTTGCTACTTCGTGAGATATCGTTGCTGACCACTTTCAGATTTGAAATGATGTTCTTGACAAGACCTTTCTAGGCTAATTCGTCAAATTGTTATAAATAGAGTAGAAATTCACAGTTATCGCCTCTCTGTTCTTGACGCCTATACAACACGGCAGAATTAACATTCAAAGTGAAATATGTTTAGCGGGGAAAATATTCTTACTGCCAAAACTCCTCCGCAGCAGTGTGTGATAGAGTAAGGTTCTCCCATGCATTACCAACGGCGACGTGATTATACAGAGTATCATTCAGTGACGTCGTATTCGTCGACGTTGAGTTGACGTTTGTCAAGACGTCAGTTACACAATACTCAGTGTTCCAGTCATTTCCACAGGTAGTCCAGGGTAGGACAGCAGAGCAGGATTGGACGAGGTAGTATATCGGCCACGCCATGAGGAAGTTATAGTAGGGGACCATCACACAACCAAGAATCAGCATCCCAAAACCCACCCCTGTGGAAGGAACACATATTGTGACAAAAAGAACAAGAAACTTTAAAGATACTTTAGTCCGTTTGGCTCAAAAACAGACCGATGAATTGCAGTCTAACTCGAAAACTAATAAACATAAAATACTCCATGAAACACTGATCATAATCAAAACGTCAGACCAACTCTGTGAGGCTTTTGTAGAATTTATGTCCTTAAATTAACAAAGTTATTTAACAAACTATCATTAAAATATTGACACAGTTCACTATTTGTTACGAGGGAGGAGTGCAGAGAAAGGGACAGCCAGGTGTGCGAGAAAGGATGGAGATGGCACAGCACAGGTTAATTAATCAACAACTTTGTCGGCACTTGTGCACGTGCTTCTCTGACACCTGGCTGTCCCTTTCTCTTCACTTCTCCCTCGTAACAAATAGTGAACTGTGTCAAAATTTTAAGAATAGTGTGTTAAACAAAATTTTAATTCTAAGACATAAATTCTACAAAGAAATGACAGAGTTGGTCTGATGTTTTGATTATGATGAGCGTTTCATTGAGTATTATATGTTTATTAGTTTTCGAGTTAGATTGCAATTCATCGGTCCGCTTTTGAGACAAACGGACTGTATGCATCAACACATTGGCAACAAAGTATCATGTTTTTACTGCAATAGATAACAAATTAAGTGTGTCATTAAACAATTTTCCCATGATGTTTGGCCGATACAAGCATGCTGAAAACATCAACAATGCATTTAATTTCAGATCCTGTTTTTCACCTACATTCTGAATATTTAATTTGATAAAAACGGTATATCCAAAGTTTATGAGTGTGATAGCATATTCAGACCACATACGGTTTAAACCATTGACACAGTTCATTGAACAGTTTGATGCCCGTGGAGCATTGTACCTTTATTGTAACAAATTTCATAGCATTTTCATTTCATTTTATGAATTCAGGGATTTCATTAAAATATAACTGACAGACTTACAACATATTGGTAATGTGCATGACACACATACCAAAACTGAATTTTCACGGACATTTATAGACAGGTTATCATATATTTACATGAATATTACAAATGACCATGGTGTCATTGGTTCGCGCCGTAGGTTCGGGTTCGAGTCCCCACATGGGTATAGTATCTGGTGTCCCCCCGCCGAGCAATTACTGGAATATCGCAGAAAAAGCTCACTCACTCACTGACTCTAGTCATATCCAACAACGTGGCCTCTACATAAACTCGTCCATAATCAACTAAGCTGGACCAAACGCAGGAGATGGATTTTAGTAAAGTGTCATTAGTTTGCATTATTGATGTCAGAACGAACTTGGAATTTTCAAGGGTGAGTGAGTGAATATACTTTTTAGCCGTTTATGTAATACTCCAGCAATATCACTTCGGGGGACACAAGAAAAGGGCTGCACACATAGTACCCATGTGGGGAATCGAACCCGTGTTTTCGGCGTGAGTCGCGAACGATTTAGCCACAAGTCTACCCCACCGTCCCTCAATAAAAAGAGTGAGTGAGTGAGTTTAGTTTTACGTCGCACTCAGCAATATTCCTTCTATATGGCGGCGGTCTGTAAATAATCGAGTCTGGACAGCATGAGCATCGATCTGCGCAATAGGGAACGGATGACATGTGTCAGCCAAGTCAGCGAGCCTGACAACCCGATCCCGTTAGTCGCCTCTTACGACATGCACAGGTTGCTGAAGATCAATTGGAAACCGGATCTTCACGTTCTCATTAAAAAGAGACAGGTAAAGCCTTAATGAGATCTGAACAAGGATCCCTATATTTAGAAATAGGAACACACCAAAATGATCCGTTCTCTTAACAAAACTAACTGTGGTATCAAGTTTCGAAATCAGTCTGACGCAACTTCATATAACTTCAGTAGCTTTTGAGAAGCGTTGCTACCTGTTATTTTCCTTTGCCAAAACTCATTTGTTTTGCCCTTGCACAAACAAATGAGTAACTACCGATATTTAGTTTATTTTGTGTTTGATTAATCATTGTTTTTCGTTCGCCAAAATATTTGCTTTAATTTTGTGTCACTTCACTTATCATTACACTTACTAGTAATTCAAATTATTTTAGCCTGGTGAAAAGCAAAACTGGTTCAATCAAAAACAATTTTCAGAATTAAAACAATTACCTTTGAAAAGGGGACAAAAACTCCACACATGAACCGTCCCCTTTCCCGAGAACTGAGACACACACGTCTCCAGGAAAAAAAGGGGAAAACAGGCAAAGAACAGAAAAATGGCGAAGGGAATCAAGAATGCTCCTGTAAAGATAAAGAAATAAATGACATTAAACCACATTGGTAATATATGTGAGGTTTTAAAGAAATATTTTGATCACGAATTAAAAAAAGATATGAAATGTCATCTTTGCACTGGATTAATGTTATGAAAGATATTTTTGATTCAATAGCCCAGTTACAATAATACACGTTCGTGATTCAAATGTTCCTCAGACCTTTGGATGATGGGTTTCACAGAAGTGATGTACCTTGAAATAGCGTTTTTGTTTATTTTGTTGTCCAACGCCGCACTAAGCAATTTCTCAGCTACGTGACGGCTGTCTGTAAATAATCGAGTCTGGACCAGACAATCCAGTGATTGACATCATGAGCATCGATCTACGCAACTGGAATACGATGATTTGCATCAACCACATCAGCGAATCTGACCACCCGATAGCATGGGTTGCTCAAGACCAATTCTACGGGTCGTAAATAGATAGCCGTCACGTGTTAGATACATTGTGCCGGATTACACAGGTGCCGGTTTTGGCAGGTTTCACTGTATAACAAAAAGACCAAAAAAACCCACTAAAGTAATAAAATGTATGACATTGCATTGGACATCACCTTGGTCACTGATACGTCCAATTTTGGAAATGTCCAATTGTGACACTTTTTGATTTTCACTAAGGGCATGAGTGAGTGAGTGACAATATCCAAGCAATTTCACGGCGACGGACACAAGAACTGAGTTTTTACACATTGTAATCTTGTGGGGGAATCGAACCCAGGACCTCGACGCCTTAACTACTAGGCTACCCCCACTTGATGATAATGGTGATATAGATGAGAGTGATTGTCTTGATAGATGGTAGAATTACCAAGCCATACCTCCTCCATTCCTGTTGCAGATATAGGGAAATCTCCATATATTTCCCAAACCTACACTGTACCCGATTAGGGATAACAAGTATTGTACTCGAGATCCCCACTGAGGCCTGGACATCCGAGTCTCCTCTATTTCCATCTCGTTCTGACCACTGGCGGACACTGGGAAATCTAAAAGTGAAATGTACTGAGTTTAAACTATATTTTAATTTTAGATTAAATTTAATTGTTTGACAGTAGTCCTTGTTTCTTCGAACTAACGCAGTGAGACACGAAACACGCAGCTTCACTGTTGCAGTTTGAGTCACACAGGTACATTGGACCTACCGCTGCATTGTCCTGTCGACCCCGCCCCATCCCCGTGATTGGCATTAAATGCCTTTATGGACGGATTCGTGAATGTGGTGAAGCTCAGCTGAATGCCTCATGGTACATCTACCACACTACATACAGGGCAAACATACAGATGCCAAGGTCTACATCTATTTGGTACTAGGTATAACTTACTTCTCTGGCGAGATCGTCGGTACATCAATCACACTACATACAGGGCAAACATACAGATGCCAAGGTCTACATCTATTTGGTGCTAGGTATAACTTACTTCTCTGGCGAGAACGTCGGTATATCTACCACACTTCATACAGGGCAAACATACAGATGCCAAGGTCTACTTCTATTTGGTGCTAGGTATAACTTACTTCTCTGGCGAGATCGTCGGTACATCTGCCACACTACATACAGGGCAAACATACAGATGCCAAGGTCTACATCTATTTGGTGCTAGGTATAACTTCTGGCGAGAACTTCGGTACATCTACCACATTACATACAGGGCAAACATACAAATCCCAAGGTCTACATCTATTTAGTGCGAGGTATAACTTACTTCTCTGGCGCGATCGTCGGTACAGTTGCAATGACATGAGCATGTCGCTCAAACACACTGTACCGCAGACAGAGAGGTACGTCCATTATGAGTATCCAGAGTGACGTCCACCTCAGCTGGTGAGGAACACATCTGTCCAGCGCGAATCTCCATTTAGTCAGGCGATTCTCACCATATTTAGACCAATTACCGGACACAATAGACCGTCTGTTCCAAGTGTGTGAGACGTTAGGTATTAACGTCAGCGAGATTGCATTCCAGTAATAACAAGAAGGCAAAGTCATCGATATCCTACGCAATGGTAAAATACTCTTCATGAATATTTCAACTAGTTATGACTATGTCAAATGTTACATTGTCCTTCACTTTGATCCAATGAAAACATACATATGTAAACTATTCATGTACAAGCATGCTCAACATGCATCAACAATTGCAACAGACTGTCTGAGCGCTTCAACAGTTTCATGTACCTCAGTAATGTTGATACTGGAAATGGAGTGGTACTGTTGATTTATGTCATGAGGTTCTTGAATATCTACAAGTGGATACCCATAATAAAGGTTTTTACGTTCTGCTCCGGAAAGGAGCACTACCACCAATTTCAGTCGAAGCCAAACTTGCTGCCATGGAAACGCAAAAACATGCTTTACTCATGTTTTAATCCAAAACTACCAAAAGGCACCAGTACACCCCTAGACCTATCTATGTGCAATGTTTGGTGAAGAGATATTGAACGGTTTTAAAGTTCTCCGGCAAAAGCGAATTTGCACGGACGGACGGAGTCCAAAATAATACCCAACTAGTTCCCATGTACGATCACGCGTTGACATAAACTAATCCAACCTGAGACAAGACAACAAACGATAAACTTTCATTTCTCATCACGTCCTTGGCACTGACACTTAACCGGAAGTGTTATAATACCTTACTGCTTGCAAACTGTACACTCCACTGAATCTCAGTCTGTAGGAGAACCAGCATAGTAGCAACTTGTCCGGGAACATCAGAAACCGGAAGTGACGCCATTTTGCAAACGCGGTTTCTTTCATGGGGTCTATTTATGATTTGATACTATGATCTCGTCTGGCACAAGGTTTAACAAAGGATCTCACATTTGATTATGTCTGGTTCCTTGTATCTAAACGATCTGATCCAGCGGAACCAGGAACCCTTTTGTGTAATTACTGTTTGGATGATTTTTTCATTTGAATGCGCCTAATAGTCCGGACTTTTTGTCGTTATTGTTTTTATTATACTGTTATCCCTTTCATCTGAAAATGTGTTTGAACTCAGACACTTCTAGTTTACAGGAGTAGTTAGATGGAACGAGGAGAATGCTGTCTCCTATTATAACACAGGACATTCCCTATAACACTAAAGTTCAAGATAAATTTACATTGTAACGTGTACGCCCATGATTGATTCAAAACACAATATTAATTTCATTTTCCTTCACAACGCTTAACTGACTGACTGAGTTTGGTTTTACGCCGCTTTTAGCAATATTCCAGCAACATCACGGCGGGGGACACCAGAAATGGGCTTCGAACCCGGGTCTTCGGCATGACGAGCCAACGTTTTAACCATTAGGCTACCCCACCGCCCCTCACAACGCATAAGTCAACAAACAACAAATATGTTCTGTATTTAGCATCTGCAGCTGGCGGTTTGCGGCCAGGACACACATGCTTTACAGTTTCACCTCTAATGAGCTTTACACATCTTTAACAAACGACAAGTGTAACAAATGTGCCAGTTTGTGTCCTTCAAAAGTTATTTACGCGAAGTAACAATCATAAAGTTAGCAATTCTAGTAAAATTTATACGTGACTCTTTCCGCACACATTATTTCAATACCACACATACAGTTGAAACAGCAATTTAGACTAGAAATACGGTCTTCAAATCGCTTTGATTTCGACATAGGTTGGAGCATTGAGAGTCGTGCCTACGCATACAACCGCCCATGGCTATCTGAATACAATGGCGTAATAGTATATTGTTAGAAAGATACAATTTTAGGAAAACTCACCAACAGATAAGGACGCACTCATCACTTGCATGAGACAGACAGTAGCTGTAGCACAAGGCAACAGGAGACAACGGAGCATTGTATGGTCCCAGTTGTGGAAACTCAACATCATTGTCATGTGGTTTACGCCCATTACACAATGCTGTGTGCACTGCAATAATTACTCAGTGGAGCTCACGTTGGTAAGTGTGAATTCAACAGACAGCACCTGTTCCGCTCTTTACTGCTCTTTACACCCAGTGCATGCGCATGTTGTTTAGAAATGTACATACAAAGTGTTCCAAACATTTACTACAGACATTGGTGTCAAGCTAGACCTGCAAGCCGTTCCTTTACAAACGTTAAATGGTAAATACTTTCATGACAAGTAAAGAATACAGGTACATGAGTGTTACACCTGTGAGATGTCAATAAGTTTGTACTGGATACTTTAGCCTGGTGGCACAACACTGCCAGATAAGTAGCACCTCGGAAACATTTAACTCTACCAAACGTTTTAATCGTAGAACATTTGTTGCTTATAAATAATGGCTAAATATCAGTACAATCGCCAGTGGCTAAAGGGTGGTGTAAATCCAACTAGGGTCCATGCAGGTAGCAAAGGTAATGTAAGTCCCCATGGTCTCTAATATGGTGATCAACCTTCAGTTTCTGGCGATACTCAGTCCGTTTTTATATTGTATTGTCAAAATTTTGAAATCCAATTTAAAAAATAGATGCTAGTTTTAATTCTTGATACCGTGATATTGTAGTTGAATATATACTCATGCCAATAATGGTTGTCACCCCCTTCAAGTTTTTAATTGGAGAGGGGTGGGGGTTAAGGGTGGGAGGGGTTGACAACCATTATTGGCATGAGTATAGTTGTGGAGCGCTGTAGTGCAATGGTAAGGCGTCTGCCTATCACGCTGAAGGCCCGGGTTCGATCACCGGTGGAGGCACCTAGGTTCGGGTCCCAAGGTGGGCACATTTGCGTAGTATCCTTGGACAAGATACCTAAATCCACATTGTCTCATTTCACTCAGCTGTAAAATGGATACCCGTGAGGATGTGCTGGCAATGTGAGTATTTAGTTCATTGCGCCTAATGGGCAGCATGGCTGTATGATCCCGGGGGGGTTGAAAGAGTATCGGAAAGTACGATGGTGTACTATGACCGGGGATAGTAATGTACGTAGCAACGTGAGCAGGCAATGTGCCTGGATATGAACGCCATATAAGCGGACTATTATTAATTTACTGTCCTTCGTCGACAGGTTTTAAAAATATATATGTATTTATCATGAATTCGCAACTATTTTCAGTCACGACATGGCTGAAATACTGTGACTATAAAGTTTAACTCACTCACTCTCTTCTGGTTTATTTGGTCCTTTTTAACCGACGACAACATTACCATCAGGGGGATGTTTCGCTCCAGTGCATTATTCAGAATACACGATTAAATACACGATTCCTGTACTCAGTCCAACACTAAATATCTGTTAAAATATCTGTGTTCTCAACCTGCTATTACTAATGGGTACATACGCACAGCGTTGTTCGACATTTCTTGCAATAACCCCTTGTACAGATACCTCCACTCCTTTCCCTGTTTTCACTACCCCATGGATACTTGGAGAAAGTAAGGACAAAGTAGTGATCAGACAAGCACATCACACATACAAGGTGCACACTAACAAATGCACATAGGCTCACACACGCGTTATGGTAAAGCCTTTCCACATTCCATAACATTAAGCAGGTATTCAATATCAATGTAAGAAATGTCTATATGTACAAACTTGTAACTGTGTTGAAAATGTGAGATTTACAAGACATTTACAATTTTGTAAAGGTGAGATTTACAATAATTGACTATTTTGTAAACATTCGCAAAGGGAGGTAACTGGTGTGTGACGGTAAATGATTGTTGGCCCTCTTCCAAAGTGATTCCAACGTTCGGGGGGAGTTCATTTCGGTGACGTCATCTTCATGTATGACGTCAACGTGGCGTACCTCTTGTGTTCCATCTACGTTACAGTTCAGCAGCGTGGACTAAGCTTCCTCCCAGCACTTCAGGACTGTGGTAGTATCACGGGAATCTGTGCCGTCATCGAACTTCACTTAAATTGGAATCCTCTTCTTTCTCTCATTTGCAATACCTATATGCCCAAACTCTTTCCAGAAGTCGCTGCAACCCTTATCTCACAGGTCCTCGA